CATTGTTATTTAAAAGATATATAAAAGTATATATCTAAGGAAATTGGTTCGGTTGGATTGGGTTTGAAAACAATTATAAATATGAAATTAGAGTAAATAAAATTTTAAAAAAGGACTAATAAAAAGTTAATAAAATTGAACATAATTTTATAAATTAACATAAATTCAACTGAAAAATCGAAAAAGAATTGATAATTTTTAAAGGGAAGATATCCTCTTATTACTCTTCCAATGAGCACCCAATTACGCCTCCTTGTATGCTCCTGGATCTTATTTTTCGCAAAACATAGTATTTTATTGTCTTGAACATTTATCTCTATAAATATTGCAAATAAANTCTTGAACATTTATCTCTATAAATATTGCAAATACAATAATATTGCACCAAAGAAAATATTTTTAAAATCTTATGCATAAAAGTTAATTACGTAAATTTTTGTAGTACTACAATTTCAGTGTAAAAATTGAAAATAATTTATATATTTCAATGTATTTTGTTAAAAACTTTTATCATCCTAATTGAATCAAGAAATCTTATTTAACTACAAGACAATTGGCTAACTTTGCCTCACGTAATATCTTTAAAGATACAAGTGTTAAAAACAATTTTTTTTTTTTATCTTTATGGGATCTTTGATGAGCCGTTTCACAAGAAAAATTAAATTTCTATCACCACATCCCTTATACTTAGAACTTGTATTAACTTCAAATTATCAAATGACAACCCCGTATATTTTTTATATATTTTCGTTCGTTATAAAAAAAAAGTGCTTAGCAAAAAAAATTAAAAATTATGAATTTTAAACAAGGCTACTTTAAAATATACGATATTTGAAGAAAAAATGCAATAGTTTTTCTAAACGGTATATTATTTTATGTAGTGATATCAATTACCGATTTACTTTGACAAAGCAGGTAGTCTATTACTTAGANTACTTTGACAAAGCAGGTAGTCTATAACTTAAAACTGGTAGCGCTTATCGATTTACGACCTATAACGTTAAAGTCTGTTATGATTTTTACTTAATAAACTCCTAACTTTAGAGTCGTGGAGCGCTTAATATTAAATAAAATAAAATATATTTTATTTATTACACTAAATCTAATGGTGCAATAAAAATAGGGTTGCCATTTAAAATATGAAGTTGATACAAGTTTTTAGCACAAGGAATGATGATAGAAACTTACATTTTCTTGTGATACATCTCATCAAAGATCCATAATGATTAAAAAAAAAAACATTGTTTATATATAGGCCAATCACCCTATATATCTGTTTTGCTGATGGAGGAATTTAATACAAAATTTACTAAAAATGAAAATCAAAAACACTCAATTATTTAGANAAAAATTAAAATCAAAAACACTTAATTATTTATAATTTAATTATTATTATACTCTCAAATATTGTTCATAAATTAACAATGTATTTATTGTAAAGGTCGTTCGAGAGTACAGAAATAATTATCATATTTTACCGCAATAAATTTAAGTTTTAACATCAGATTTTAACAAAATGCATTAAAATATACATAANATTTTACCGCAATCAATTTAAGTTTTAACATCAGATTTTAACAAAATACATCATATTTTTACAATTTTTACAATGAAAGTGTAGTACTACAAAAATTTACGTAATTAACTTTTTTTTTATACATAAACATTATTGTTTAATAAAATCAATACTTCAGAACTCAATTTTTTTTTCTTTTATATTTTTATATTTAAACTAATAAAAATAATAAGAGGATCATATGAAATGAAAAGGATATGTATGAAGTCTGTGTTGGTATCTTATCTCAAAGTTTTACGGGTATTGTAGCGTCTAAATGTGATATCTATATTTCACACTTCATCAAATAAACTACCAATTGGAAAATGAGCAAGTTCAACTTTTTAACTATCCTATGGAAACTTGGAAGACATAGTATCCGTGGTGTAGAAACCAATTCTATACAAAGGATAAAATTTTAAATACACCATAAAAGTATCTTTTGCATAATTCTCATATTTTTCTTGATTTACATCATTACACGCCTATTGTACTTAAAATCCCTTTAAAACATTTAAGGAGTTTTTTATTTAATCCAGTTATTTCAGAAACCACCGCTGGAAAATCAACGTCAATTTAATTTGACGCATAATTCGGAGAATTACACAGTACAGTCGTTCTACTCTGAAACATATTTAGAACTTAATTATATATAAAATATATAAATACTACTCGCCAGTAAAATAATCAACCTTTAGGGCCGATCTNAGATATCATCTATACTTGTCCCATCTATGCCTCGTCCACACTGTGCCTCGACCCCACTGTGCTA